AAATCGTTCGCGAACCATTTATAACTTGCGGACCATCGGTGGTCCGTGGACCACAGGTTGGGAACCCCTGTTCTAAAGTAACAAACCAAAAATACTTATTTGTGTTATCATTCAAAAATTGCGTAAGCATTTCTACAGGAAAACATCTAAAAATTTCACAAAAGTGACATCACGCTACAGTCATAAACAAATCAACACCTACGACATTTTGAAAGCCACACGCACGCGTTCACCTTTAGAGGTAGAATCTTCTAATTAATCATTTATTGACTAGGTTTTGAAATTAACTATACCGTGGCAAAACTTAATCGTGATGCATAAAGTTATGGCGATATTTATGCGATACTGGTTATACAAGCGACTGTATTACACAAGCTTTTGAAGCTATATCAGATAAGATATATTACCTACTACTCATATACTCTAATACAGCAATGATTCATAATTACATCGTTTTATTAAGCTCTATCATCCACCAAACACTGTAAAACGTGATTGATATTAGTAAGATGAGAATAGTGTATTATTTATTTTTAGACGTGGATATTTAAATTATAATTAAATAGTGTAGATTCTATATTTATAGGTATCATCTAAGTATGTATAGGTTAGTTTGGAGCTTGGTAATGGGTTTAGAGGACATAATTTATGTCATTTTTTAGCCTATTATGAAAATGTATGTTGTTTGGCGGTAATAATTCAATTTGTTTTTGTGACTAAGTCAAAACAATTTATCTACACAATATTGAAGATATCTTAGTTTATTTATACTTATATTAATCACCTAAATTTTTAATTGATTCTGAAATATAAATGTTGAGAAAGTGAAATGAATGAGGAACGATGGTGTTTTGTTTATTTACTTAATGACGTCATTACTAACCGTCGTAAGTTTATTGTTTTCATGACTAAGTTTGATATGCCCTTAATTACCGTGTAGGTAATGCCTAAAGCACTACGTGACAATTGACACGAATGCGATCATTTATCCTGATGGAATAGTTCATTCTGATTGCTCAGGTATTACGCCAATCAATCATTGCTTACGTTTCTCGTAGGGAATACCTTTTTGCAACCTGTGGTTACTATGACTTATTTTTTATGGAATAGTACTTTCGTGGAATACAACTCAGTTTCGCATCCAGGTTAGTCGGGTTTTACAATGAGTACAGTTTTGAGTCTTCTATGAAAATATGACAGGAGTTCAAAGGACAGACGTCATGACCTGTGAGATGTGAATCATCGAGGTGTGTTCTTGAGATCGCTCTTTGAGTTCACAACTTGCGGTCTAGTGACTCATGGTAGATCCGCGAGTGCTGTATTCAAATTTTAGTTCGGAAATGAGTCGTAAAGGGCAAAGGTCGCTTTCTCGTTAGTTACTTAACATAAATCAGTTTGGTACAGTCAGCATTAAATAGTTCGTGACATGCAAAATGGTCAAAAAGCTAACAAAACCTTATTAAAATTGTATCAAAGACGTGTTGCGAACTTATTGGTTATTTTATCGATTTGACGCTGATTGTATGGAACTAAGTAGGATTTTTTCTATTATTTAGTCAGTCAATGTTTTACACAGAGTAAACCTTAAAAGGATGCAAAAGAACCCAAATAAGACCTAAAATTTATAATAAAGAGCAATATTTCTTATTATTAATTTAGGAAAAGGTAGAGTCTATTCAGACGACCAGTAACAGCACATTCCCCAAAAATAACAGGGATAGTTGATGATTTAATTCTTTTTAACAATATATTTAAACAAATAGGAAATATCTAAACAAATTCAATATTAAACGCATCAAAATATCACAGAGACCCGCATAGTTTTTGTATTAAAAACCTTTCCATTTGTATAGGATTAAAACAATTCTAAAGATAATCCCTCAAACGGTTTGTCACAAACGTACGAGTATTATGTCACAAGAACCCCAAAACATAACATTTTCGGAAAGCCGTGACAGACGTAGCTGCTGTTGCCAACTTCTGTCAAGATGGTATAAAAAGCATAGAAGATACCTCACATAACCTATTTAATGTCGCATTCGTATATTTAGATTCAGTATTTCTGTCCTATTTTTTGTGTGATTATTTGTCTGTATATCAAAATTGTTTGTTTCCCTAATATAAATAAATAAAAATAAAATAAAAATAGTAAGACTTACAAGGAATCATTAGGGCTGTTTAAAAAGCAAACATTTAAATCGACTCTATAGATGGATTGCTCTCACCAGTCCTTGCTGCCTAAATAGTAATAGCTATACGGAAAGCATGGGATATTTTGTCAGTCCTGTTTAAAAGATACAGAGCCTTGACCTATAATAATTCTGATAAACGCTGTATTAAGTTGCCTTAAAAATCTAAATTTAAATTGAACGAAAATCTCTTACTAGGACTTACTATTACTAAGACTTCATGGTAATAAGTTGGCGATGTCAATTAGGCTGGGTTGTACTATCATACTTTAACCATAACAATCGTCAAAACTCTCTCAAACTCCACTCAAAAAACACCGGTTATGGCTAAAATAAGGTTGTGCAAGTCAGCCTTAGTGTAAGTTAGGACATCAGGGTGATGTTTGACGTAAATAGGTGCTTCTATCCTTATTCCTTTTGCTGCTCAAGACTTTATCTCGGTGCTTAACCACTTTAATGCTTTATAAAGTAGAATCTCGTGAGTTGATGCTTATCGGGGACCTTACGTCGCATTCTTTGTACCTTAAACAGAGTTGTGTGAGATTAAAGTTTTTGCAAGAAGCGTGTTTCGTGAATTTGCGATGGTTAGCCGAAAGTTATCATAGTTTGGCGGCTTACACGTTTTATGGGAGTTGTGAACTGTAATCTGATGTGCTTTGGTGACCCTGAAGGAGCTGTTTGAACTTAACGTAGAGGTACAACAAAGCTCCTGATCACGTCTGCTCTGACTTTATTTGTTTAGATTTTTCTACCAAATAGTCCTTTGTGGTTGCTCCAATGATTGAGCAATTTGCTACAGTGAAATAAAATAAAGTTTTTAGATTCGAACTCTTTTGAAAGTGAAAAATAAGAGAATAGATATCACGAGGAAACGCACATTTTGGCGGATATTACCTTGAATTGCTATAATTCAGTTTTACTTTCACAATAAAAGCTTTATTAACTAGGATAAGGAGCCATACGAAGGAAAGAATAAGTCACATTAAAGTAACATTTTACATTATAAACAGTAGAATCTGTCAGCCATCATGAACACAAACCGAAAGCTTCTCAAACCAGTAATGGTTTACAAAGTAGCCTAATCACAATCAAACAAAACAATGCCATTTAGAAAGTACACCATATGCCCCCCAGTCACGGTAATGTCAGAAGCCGAAAATCATCATCAATTTACCAGTACCGAAATAAGTGGAGGTGTCGTGAGTGAGACGCACGGTAGGGCCGCGAGCCACCGGCGGCTTCCCACAGCTGATAGAAAGTAATGTGATCGCCACTTTTCGCCATGCGATACGCGATATATTAATACCTGTGGCTTTAAGTGTCGCTTTCCAAACACCATTGGTCGTAAGACGGTCGTTGGCGGCACTCTTGTGGTGCTCTTCTAATGCTGAATGGCTTCTTTTATCTAAATTCAATTTATATGTTAGCCATGTGCTGTTTTTTAAATTTTTGGCAGAGCTTTCTGCTGGATGATTCTTAAAAGTCAATAAATGACATATTTTTCAATATAAATCAATCAATTAGACAAAATCCAGGATTTTTACACAGCAACAGGAAAAAAGCTATCAAAATCAAAGTAATTTATTGGTTCTGGTACTAAATTTTATTTCTTTCAAAAATATGTGCATAAAAAAAAAGCTGGAAAGCTAGTAAAGTAGTAATTCGGATGTAGAGCTGCTACAAAATATGCATTATCTGAAAAATTAAGTGAGTCTAAATCTTATAACTAACATTTTCAATGTATCGCTGTTGGTTTCTATAAATAAATAAATAAAAATGTTAAATCTTAATGTAGCAAAATTACAAGCCAAAAAACGAAGATCAAAATTCATAACCAGCCAGAATTTTCCACAAAACACCCGGTGAGTCACCCCAGACTTAAACAGAATAATGTCGCGTATTATACCGCCTACTCGTCGTTTTCCGCGCTACCTGTTCGTGGTGGGGGCTGCGCGCGCGCCTTCCGCGTAACGTTATCAGTAGTTTCGGCACCCTCGCGCGCAGTTGCCAAACGCACACGCTCACGGACGCACGTCTATCTTATTGACACACGCCTCCGCTTACGCACACACGCGATACACAACCTTACAGTGACCACATTTAAAGCCATCCATTTATTCATGTTTCGACAGTGAAAGTGTTATTACCGCTTTTAAAGCAATAAAGTTCTTTAATCTCTACATCGAAGGTGCGTATTTTGAATTTGAATTTTTATTTAGTTAATAAACTTGTTAAGTGAGCTGTATCGTAAAACATCGCATTGATAAGTCGCTACTTAATATTCTGAGTACACGTTTCTTAGTGCGGTGTAAAATTATTTTGACCCGCAGGTCACTAAGTGCTTGAATTATAATTGATTTTATTCAAGTGCCCTTTACTGGTTTTAGTCTGTTTATTCACGGCTAATGTAGTTTATAAAACGTTTTATTTACTGTGCTTTATTGTCATTTAATATTGTGTGAGGAATTTCAAAGGTTTGTTGTTATTAATTTACGAATCTTTGAGATTCCTTTGTTTCATGTTTCATTTCTAATCATACCTTCTTTTGTCTTTCTTAATCGCGTTCTTTGCATGGTTCATTCCCTTAAAATCTTTTCTCGTTCATCAAACGATCGCAATTTTACATAGTTTCAGTCCGTATTTTCACGTCCCCTAAAAGACCAAAAGAGAGTCAAAAACAGTAATTAGTTCCACCTTAGTCGTCCAACCTACTATCTCGATACCTACTCCGCCTCGTAAAACCTTACTCCCCGCGCGATAGAGTCGCAATACGCTTGCGCGCCGACTGATAAATAAGCTATCACTCTGCAGAACGCCCCGCCCGATCGCACCACATCATAGCCCAGACAAAATGTTCGCTGTGATGCAGATTGACGAAGACCACACACGGGATTTTAGGCGCAAGCTGCGACCGAAATGCGAGTTTGTTTGCAAGTATTGCCAACGTCGCTTCACGAAGTCTTACAACCTGATGATACATGAGCGCACGCATAAGAGCCCAGAACTGTCCTTCAGCTGCGAGGTTTGCGGGAAGAGTTTCAAACGGCAGGACAATCTACGCCAGCACAGGTTAGTGCTTTTTTTAATCTCTGGTTAACTTTATCCAAAGAATAAGGCTGAGTTGCAACACCAACTTTAATGATAACCTATGTTTTTGTAGAGATTTTTGTCAAATTTTTGAAGTTTGTTATAGTTAAAGTAATATGTTGCAACCCAACCTAAGATTTTAGCAGTTTTGTTGCCAAATAAGTCCGTTTTTAAGTTTTGTGATAAAAAATAGTTATTAATATTAAGTAAAGGACTGACTTTTAAAAGTTTAAACTTTTCAGTGGATAGTAAAAAACTGTGCTGATGATACAATATTTGTGTCAGATTCATACAGTTACTTGCAATTTTAGCAAAATATTCTAACATTTAATCATAAATAATCTATGTAAAACTATTTCACGGAAAGTTTTATTACGATTTTAAATTGTTTATGTGTAATTAATTAATTTTGTAGAAAACTATGCGCCGTTACAACCCTTTCAAGTTGTCGTTAATTATACAATCATTAGTATCGCTTTCAACTTTACAAATTAATAGTACCTAATTATTGTCACTGTCATGAATGTCGAATACCTATTTTTACTTTAAAATTGTAATGATCATTCATATCCGCACGATTTAAAGTATGTAGTGGCCGAATTGGTTTTCCTTATGTCACCAATCACCATGGATTATTACAAAAACTTCAATATTAGGTACTCAAAATCCCAAACCGTCACCTCTGACCTAAATCCCATACCAAACCTTGGTAAATAAAGCCTATATTGGTCTGCATTCTCGCGGTTACCACCGTCAGGTGTGACAAGGTTGTGGGCAGACTGTCAAAAGCAATTAGGGCCCGATCTGTCACAGACTGTCACCTGACCGTAGCTACTAGCATTACAGAACCTAGTTCTGACACGTGCGGTACATCTCGTGTTACTAAATATATAGAAGCTTACGTAATTAAATTGCTTCTATTGGCATCGTTACAATTTACAAGAAGCATGGAATACAGCAAAAAGAACACGGATACTAAAAATGTTTTCATAAAAGCTTTTTAAATGAATGATAATGCAATTTATGTTTGGAAGTAGGTAAGATACACACAAGTACCCAATCTTGAAAAAGCTCAGAGAAAACAAAAGAAGTACTGAAGTGAAGGGAGAAAAAGGACTAACTTGAAATGGTCCTATTTATCGTAGCATCCTCGCTGAAAATTTCCATGATGTCGACATCAAATCCGTGTGGCAATGAAATGCTTAACGGTACACAATTGACGGCTGTAATTTATAGCTGATGTTTGTTTTGTTATCTCTTGTCAACATGTAGATTACTGGGTACCTACTGCAATATACCTAATTATTAAGTTGAGTCCACATGGTGCGTTAACATTGAAGTTAAAAAATGCGAAAGTACCAAAAGTAAAAGATATCGAAAAATATCAAGACCTACTTTATATCTCTAAAGCTTTTCTTAAGATATGTCTCTTTGCAGTCTAATTTAATACCTAATTGTCAGGACTGATTCGTACCCAACATCTTTTTTGCAAGATACACTCATCAAGTGTTACTGTAAAAAAGGGAAATCTAACAAAGTCATCAAGTTAAGTTCGTTAAACTCCATAATTCAAGGTGCATTCACACGTCGGGTGTCACTCTGTTAGTTTGTCATTTGTCACTGTAATTAACATACAATGACTTGGTAGCAGCTTGTTGAAGGATCGTTAGATCCGCGGGTTGGATTCTGACGTCGGACCCTAAAGCGGCTTTTTGAGTAATTTTATTTAGCTTACTTATTAGGGTGTAAATCAAGGGTTTTTAGTAGGGTAGTATAATAGATTTAGCGTATAACTGAGTCAGGTATAGGAGCGGCACAGGAGGTATTTGTTATGTCAAACGTCAGCGAGACTTCAGATTTGTATGTTCTGTCACGTCATATCAAAATCACCCCTCCCGTGCCGCTTCCATACTTCAGGTATTGACTGAGTTAAGCGCTAGATATACAGGGAGTCCCAAAAAGTAGTGTCAAGCCGAAGTCAAGAGGTAGAGCATCACTAGCAATCCAAATCACCGTGACTTTTGATAGTTTTCGAGCTTTGATTTTTTTACGATTTCTAAAATCGCGGAACATACATGGTGGTAATTTGGATAGCTCTTGTGATGCTCTACCTCTGGGATTTGGCTTGACACTACTTTTGGGGACACTATGTATAATTTACTAAGCTTTATTTCTTGCATAGGCTTAGTCTGCTCTGCAGTTTTCAAAATTTCAAGTTTCAAGATCAGGTCCGTTAAGGACATTGTGGAATGATGAGTACCGTGCTTCAGTGACACTTAAATTTTGTGCGAAAATTGAAAGTCAAATAAATTGTGATACATCACTCAAAGAAGCAAAGCTGTAAATAATGTAACCCACAAGTGTACGAGGAAATAATTTATCTCTTAAATTGATTTACCAGTCTACTTAGTTTCTGCATGCGCTTGTAACCGCGGTACCATCCGCTCCGTTACGCCACGATGGAGATTTCGCACGAGATTTAAACTAACCTCTTTTGTTGACATTTCAAGGAATGAAATGCCATTCGATTACCGCAATAGAAAGTGGAATGGGTTCACATATTAATTATGGGGCTCCTATTTCTGAAGGAGCCCGCCCACTTTACAAGAATTTCGATTACACTCAGAATGGGTCCCGCGTAAAACAGAAATTATTTTTTATAAAATTAGACGAATTCTCCGCTTTCCTAGCTATGAATGGGAACAATTAGCCATCAAACCCTGCTACAGACTTTAAAAAACAGAAAAAGATTTTAAAATCAAACATACCAATAACTATGTTTATGGATGGTTCCAATCAAATGAGCTTTCAATGTAAAGAAAGCGCATTGTTTTACTTGTCTAGGAACGACGATGACAAACGCAGACATCTGTCTGTATCTGTATAGATTGTAGAAAGTAAACACAAGGGAATCAATCAGATATAGACAGACAGGCACAGGATTATAGACTTTAGAAACAATCTTTCTGGAATGCCCGGAATCAGGAACAACATATCGTAACAACAAAAGTTTCCGTGTGAATCTGTTGAGAGGGCGATCCTGCTACCGCGAGATGGTCGATAGATCACGGCGTGCGAGTCGTGAGCTCGTGACGTGTTCGTGTGTTAACGGTGCTTAATGGGCCCTAATGCTTCCGAAACTGTGCGAACGCGGACGGTAGCGAGAGAGAACACGTGACCGCCCCAGTATAATTTGCAGGGCATGAAGGGTTACCAGTTACGATATTTTATCGCATGATCCAGGAGTTGCGACATTTTTTCCTGAATTTGTCGTTGCATAATTCTTCATCAGGACATTTCAAAACTGAGCAAGCACTAGCTCTTGTTGCTGTGACGTGGCTGTTTAACTCGTAGCATTTCTAGATCTTTGTCTCAATTTATTCTATTTTGTAGCACATAATGAATTAATTCTTGAAGAGATTTGTACTAGAAGTGAGTTTTGTTAATATTGGAATTTCAATCCAAAATTGTCAAAATATTTTACAAGTGTTTTTTGTTTTTGCCAAGCTTTAGGATATTTAGGCTTTTGAGTGTATGTATTTCTGTTTCATCGCAATCTCCTGCAGCCTTTTAATCGATTTTGAAGTGATCATTGTTATTAGCTCCATCTTCATCATCTCCGACATAATCATAACTGTCTGTCTTTTGTTTTCTTCCATTTCGCGTCAGCTTCCTGAATTTTTTTATCATTAACACTGGCAACCTTACACCTTAAAGGGAACAGCACTGTGCATCAAGCCTAACCGTTTACGATGATTGCCGCGATTTGTCTGACGGCCATATATGTGGGTGATGAGCAGACTTCCTATTCGGGTATTTTATGGCTTGCCGGCTGAACTGTGTAAACGGTTACGGTGTGCAGTTACTCTAATGTTCTGTTGAGGTAGCTGAATAATAGAAGGCCTCATATTGAGAATCTCCCAATACAGAAAAATGGGAAGGGTTTTTTCCTTTTTAGATAGATTTGTAGAAGTTGTAATTCATACAATAAAGTACTTACTACGTAATTGGTCGTATCTTTGCGAATCTACATTTAGCGTTAAATCAATGCTGCCAACTTTTTGCACCATACGCATTTTATCATAAGAAAATGTGCAGGCGTGTCATTATAGAATTGATAGTGATGCCTACATAGTCAAAATTAAGTGCCAGATTCAGTGGAAAATTCACAAACTGGCAACACAGCAACACTCTCCAAAAATTTCTCTCACCTCTCAAATGGTCTCACCTCGTCAAAACCAGTAAGGTCAACAGCACAACCGTTGCCCCCTAACCAGAAGCGGTAAAAGCACTGGCCGTAATGAGGGATGCGTGCGAACCGTCGATAGCGCCGTGAACCCCCCCGGCCACGCTACTGATTGTTTTTGCTAAATAACCGTACATGTCTTCCGTTGGTGAAATTGCTTGTGTTTTCTTCCTGGATGTGCCACTTTGGCGATAGAGCCATCATCGATACATCAAACGCTTCTCGGATTGAATAGATTATTGTGTTGTTGGGTTCTGAATTTGCTAGTTCTTTTGTGGTACTTTTTAAATTCAGTAGGTATTCATATGTTTTTGTATATGGCTTTGGGTATTTGAGGTGTTATTTACTGATTAGATTAATTTACTTTTTGTGTTCAATTAATTGCCAAAAAAAATCACGTGTCTATTGTAACTTTGTTATAACTAGATGAACTATCATCTCTCTATTTATAACGCCTACCTAAAACTTAAACAGACTAGTCTGTGAATCTAACAATACATTCAAACCCACTCATTATTACCTCCAGTAGCTTTAATCTAACTAGACGATCGTAAACAATAGATCCAATTCACTTAATTAAGATTAGAAACAGTCTCAGCCCGATGTCCTATTTAGTTAGCGCACTGGGTCATCACTGCGCCCGCACATTCGCCATCGCAATCGATCCCGATAGATCCATTCGATTCACGACTCGTGCGAATCGAGCTGACGTTCTGATTAAATCGGTAATCGATTGGGCTTGTGCAGATTTTAAGACCGATCAGATATTTGATGTTATTATGAAGAACGCTTGGTGAAGTTTTTTTTACAGTTTTGCTGTCTTTTCAGCATAGGATTTAGTTTGGTGACAAGTTGAGGTACATATTTTTCCCAAGCTTCTACATGGTAATATTCAGGGATGTGTTGATTACGATAAATCCAAAGTATAAAAGACATGCAATTATTTTGTTTTTATGTAATGTCCAAATAAGGATTCTAACGCTGTTTTTATTTATGAATGTTTTGTCTCTTGCTCAAACGATAATTTTGTTGTTGCGTTGCTGTGACGTTGAAATAATATTTTAGTTAGAATGAAGGATGCTGATAGATCATTTCCTACTACATGATTGTCTTAACCCTTTGTTCTAATGCATCTAAAATCGAAAGTGTTCCAAGCACTGTCATCAGTGGAACTGGAATCGTTCCGATCTCAAAGGGCGTAGGTGACGGCATTTATTTCACTTCCGCGGCAACACTGGGCCACTTCGTGAGCACCCTCTATGTGGCTGTGGGAAAACAACTCTTTGTTTCAGGTGTATACAGGGTGTGCTAGTTTCATTTAATTAGTTTCATCTAATTTTTTGTATGTATTATTGTTTGATTTTATATTTTATCTACGGCGTTGATATGAAAGCTTATGGCAGTAGAATATGCTCTGTTCACATCGCAATGTCATTAATTGTTTTTGTCATTGGTTATTTTGACTTTTCTCTTTAAGTGCGTTTCATGTTTCTCGAGGTTAGGTTATTTATCTGTTTGTTTCACGTAATTTTCAGTTTTGAGTTCTGTTTAATAAACTGAGTAGTTAATATAAGTACTTTTAGATAATTATTGTAATAAGTAGTTACCATTTTATTTACGAAAAGGTTAATTATTATTCATTAATTGCAATTCAAACCTCCTCTATACCGAGCGAGATTTCTCAAGGAGCACCTAATTAACCGCAAGCAGCACCTCGCCGAACAATTGTGTAGTCGATATCTAGCAGATAGCGTGTATACCTGCCCAAACAATCTATGTTCCATCGGGAATGCAAAGCCGTGAAGAAAAGGCATCGGATCAGGATTTGTGGTGTTTGAATTGTTGCGAAGGAAAACCGAATTTGTGGAGTCATTAATAAAGTTTTAATTACGTTACACATTTTTTGAGTGAGCCTTGTAGTAGGGTTGACTGCTCGAATTTGGTGTCGAATTTAATTCATAATTTGAGCTGTGAGATAATAGTTATAATCTAGGACCTTATTGATGATGTGAGGTTGTCATTAGTATCTTCATACGAAAATTAACTATTTCAGAAAACGGGTTTAATATTAAGTGTTGTAGTATCTTTCATACGAAAATTAATCTTTCAGACAACAGGATTTTATAATAACTTTTCAAGTTTTACGATTTCAAAAATACAACCTGACAGTAGCAAATAACTAATCTTATAATAGACCACGTAAACATTTTGTTTTATCTGAACAAAGTTGAAAAAAATCACCGCTAAATGACTCATGGTGCAGTTTATAAAGAACCCTTACCAGTTTTTTAATGAACTTAAAGATTACACGGTTAACACGCTTTGAAGAAGACATTGGTCGTTGGGACGACGTTAATCCTTTTAAAATGTTGGACCAGCTCATTGTTAAAACCAACCAAAATATTGGCAACATAGTTGTTTAAGCTTAACATAATCTTGTTTTAGGTTGTAACGGCGCATTTCAAATTCCACGAACGTCCAAAAAAGAATTACCGTTTTCAAAAAACGTTTTTAAGCTGTTTATTTTTGTTTTTGGTAACGGTGTTTTAGGATAAACCTTCTTTTTAACAACTAACGTGTCACTAATTCTTTGCACACTTTTCTTTTGCACCAAATTAACTGTAAAAATCACATTTTTATTTGTAAAATTGGAAAAGATTCGGTTTTTACTTGTAACTTTCTAATGATCAATGATTTAAATGGGTTTTTGTTTAAAATATGATTGAAGAATATAATGGTTGTGATGTATACTGTCAAAAGGGCATCATCATTATCAGAAATATTAAAAAAACATTGAGTTTAAAATTATTAATTTGATTGTCCTTTTGATGGTACTTTGGAATAACTAATAATATTTTTTTCTCACTTGTTGTAGATGTAGTCAATGCTTGTGGCGGTGAAGGTGATGGAGTAAGCACGATCCAACTACAGCGGTCTCTCTTACACAATAGAGTAAGGATCTTCATGTTTTATAAACAAACAAACACACATTCATTTGTTTTGGCAACCCTAGCAGCACAAAGAATTAGGGTTGATAACTTTTTGTTGTTTTGAACTTCAATTACATTTGTATTTTTTTTATGATTAATTATTTTTGTTTTGGCAACCCTAGTAGGACAAAGAATTAGGGTTGGTAATATATTCAATTTATTTTTAATTTTTTGATGACAAATCACTAATCAGTTTTATTGAGGACCGCAAAAGTTAAAATTTGTAAATACATAGTACGAAATGATCGTGCTCTAAAAGCCCTACAAGCATTTTAGATTTTTCTTCATAACATCTTCTATAAAAATTAACACACTTGCTGACATGTTATTTAAATGTGAAATTAACAATATATTATTTGTTACAGAGAAATCCATTACAACTCAACAAGGGAGACTGCTTATCTAAGATGGTGATGCCTAACCACCACCAAAGTGACGTCACCACAAAAATTGGAATTAATATTTTTCTTCTTTATCAGTATTCGTGCTTCTTCATTAACTTCGCCAGAATGGGAAATTGCAATTTGGTTATAACGTTAAGGGTGTTAGCATTTCGGTTCCATGATATTCCAATTTAAATTATATTTGTGATACATAAAACCTCTACGTGGTGTGGTGGCATAAAATTGTTACAAATAATCATACAAATGCATAATTTATTTCTTCTTTTCTTGATTTTCTGATTGAGTACTGAAGAATTTGATCAATTATTTCGATTTTTGTCTTTTTTTTCATGCATTTATATGGTTATTTGGAAAACTGTTGACAGAATACAGCTGAACATTCTGGTGATTTGTAAATAGTATTTATTAGGTTAAGATAGCGATTAAACAGCTTAACTGCTTAGCTATATTTTAATGTAAAGTAATATTTATATTATATTTAAAAATATTGTTATTACTTTTAAGCGCCTAATACGTAGAACGTATGTTCTAAGCATTCCAGTTAACAAAAATGTTGAAGAAAAGATCGTATTTATTAATCAGTAATTTGTATTTGACATTTCACGTATTAATGTATATTTTGGTCGTTCCTAAAAATGAGTTAGTGTATCAATAGGTACTTGTAAAGATGTATCGAGTTGTATGTCTTGTTTGAATTGTTAATGTCAAAAGTTGCACTTACGATATTTTACATGTTTTATAAAAGGAAACTGTTTAAAAGATTTGTTTTGTTTATAAACATTTTAATGATTTTTGTACTTTTGATATTAACGATTAATTGGAAAAGGAAGCCATACTATGAAGAAATGATTATAATTAATTACTATAGTTTTGCTCTAGTTTATCCACGTATTAAATCTTATAATTAAGCATCATCTTCATCAAGCTTTTAGTAATTTTCTGTCTCGAAAGATCAAAGTACGTTGTGATTAATTACTTTGATTTATAAGGTTTTTTATTACACTTTGTAACATTCGACATGGAAAATTATATCTTAAAACCATTGGCTTCCAGTGAACTTTGCCATATTTCGATGCTTTTGCGAAATACATGCGGTAAGGTTATTAAAAATTATATTTCACGTTATAATTGTCTGTATACACGATATATAAATATGTTATATATGAATTGTCATATAAGACAGTAGCTAAACCGCTTTATGCTTTAATAATTATATAAAAACTAGAGATGGTAAAATATCCCATGTGCCAATAAATGGACAGGAGTCTGTCGTTAGCCATATTTTGACATAGTTTTTAGATGTATAAAATTATATTTAATATTTTTTGACTACTTATATTATATGTATGTATTCCTTTTATGTGTAGATCGATGGTAATAAACGATTGAATAATAATGATAAATTGTTTTTTTTCTTCAAAAATGTTAAATTTTAATGAAAATATGTTTGAAACTGAAGCTTTTAATAGAATCAGTCCTGTTGTTAGTATACTTTAACAAGATTACCTTTAGTTTTAGTGTAAAGTCGTGAACTCAGATCATAGAAGGTCGTGAATTAGATCATGATGGAAAATTAAATCTTTGACCCCTTGCCAGTGAAAGTTAACTGATGGATATGACTTGGTAATGGTAATTCTGTGTTTTGCTAGTGGCTGATTAATACTATGATTAATGTACAGTCGACAGCATAACAGACTATACATTTTAGTTGCAAAATATTCTATATTACAACGAGATAAGAAGCCATTGTGTATAGCTTGATGTGCTGTCGTATGTACAGTTGCACATCAGGTCACAAGTAATATTGTTGTAGCAAAGTAGCACCTATGACAATGCTATAAGAAGTTAGTGTTGACCTTGCTGTGCCTTTTGGGTTCGAATCCCATTTTGACTTATTAACACACATTAATTTGACCTATTTCAAAATTTTGTTTGTTCTTGTCATTCATCTACTGCTCTGTAAAGTCCTCATACTGGGTGAACGAAAGAAGATAAGTATTTGTCAACAAAAAAAAACATACTGGGTGAACGAAAGAAGATGAAGCATTGGCCAACGAAAAAAGAAACTAGTTCATAGATGAGTAATAATGTTAGTAGGTATGTAAAATATTTTATTCTCTTTCATAAGATAATGCGTCAGTTATCAAAATGGTATTTCCTATTACTCATATAGGCTGGAGTTATCTCAGATCAATCAGATCTTACTAAAAGTAAGATATCTAGTCAGACGAGGCGCTATAGTGATTTACTTATCCATTTTAATGGAAAGAAGGCGCAAATATTGAGCGTTATCAACATAGCTTCGTAGAATTAGTCTCTACTTTCAAAAAAATATACTACCTTCTATTTTCGACAGCTTAGGTAATTTACGTTAGCCATAGGACGTCCACTGCTGAACATAAACCGTCTAACTGCATGTTAAACGCGTCCTTATGGTTAAAAAAATGATGAATATGACACTAAATGTACCTAAGGTCATATGCATGAAATCTCCTGTTATGAATAAACAACTCTACCCAATAAAAAGACAAAAAATGATTGTCAAAATGTTATTTCAAAATTGTCTTTGAAATGTTCCTACTGGGAATTGAACCCAGAATCAAGTTCCATCCTTTGGACCACAGAGGCGCCACTAGATCAATAACGTTGGCTGATGAGTCAGCAGATCGGCAATCAAGTTGACAAACCATAACGAGGGCCCTAACACGCTGACCGAACTCAAAGGCGTCGACATAAATTTTATACAGCCTTATAAATTCCACACAAGTGTATTGCGCAGGGTTGCCAACAATGAAAAATGGAGTTAATATGATTTGAATTGATTTCGGTGAGACGTTGTGTGTAAGTATAAGGGTCCCGTATACTTTAATGATGTTAATTTTACTAATTACAATAAAAAATAAGATGTAAAGTTGCCTTTCACAATGTCACTAAACGTATTAAAAAAATTAAGTTTTTAGTGAATGGTAGGTCAATTGATTGAATGTCACATTGGCAGAATCATAGTTACCAATAACTAGAACTTAAAGATAGAAAGCGGGACAGTCCATCCCAAAAAAAAAGATAGAAAAAAGAAACAGAAGAAGACCTTTCTTGTCAAATACCTTAATAAATTAGTGCTAATGATTGTTGGTGCCTATTGAAAAAAAAAATTGGTAAATTTATGTAAAGGAAAAGTAACTTTTATTATTGTTTGTTAGAGTTGACACCCCTAGAGCCAGCGGTCATTTGCAGTGCGAAACTGGTCCCCGCGTAACGCGGTGGCAGACTGCGCGGCTCGCGTTAGTCATCGGAGGATTCCGTCAACTGGGACCGCAATTAACTGGGACCGCGGTCCCAGTCGCCGGATGCGTAAAAATTAAATAATTTTCTTCCGGCGACTGGGACCACTCATGGATTTTAGTACTGTACCGATTTTGGATTGAATAATATTTTCTTTTATGTTATCTATGAGTGGTCCCAGTCGCCGGAAGAAAATTATTANTAATTTTCTTCCGGCGACTGGGACCACTCATGGATTTTAGTACTGTACCGATTTTGGATTGAATAATATTTTCTTTTATGTTATCTATGAGTGGTCCCAGTCGCCGGAAGAAAATTATTATTTTTTTATGGATCCGGCGACTGGGACCGCGGTCCTAGTTAATTGCGGTCCCAGTTGCCGGAAGCCTCAGTCATCGCACTCATCACGCTGCGTAATCTACGAACAAACTTTTGAAATGAGAACATTATTGATTAAACTTAAAAAAAGAACATCGAAAATTGGTAATAAACGTCTAATATTATTTTGAAGAACGAACGTTATAAAAAACAAATGAACATCGGTAAGGAAAAAATAAAAAGTGGTTGCATGACTATTCGCGCCGCTGCAACTTCTGTGTGGCCAGGATCTACAGCTTGGCCACTAATAAAAAGTAAAAAAGTGGTTAATACTCGTAGTATATTGCACCGCTGCAGATTCTGACTGGCCAGGATATTATTATACACACACATACAGCCTAACCCCTAATAAAATTTAATCGGTGAAGGTATAATACAATGAAATTAATCAGGAGAATAAAAAGAGAAGGAGTTTCAAGCTGAGGAACGACCTCTGCAATAATCAGTATAAGTAAGTACTATTTTTATGGCACATATAGCTTGTTATTAAAATATGTCTGTAGCTGAAGGAAATTCAATTTGAAACTAAGGGTGGATTCGACCAAACAAGAGTAAATATTAATCTCAGAAAAAATCGTCAGTTTTTCGACATTCTGACATATTTCCCATATTGAATCTGTTAATGTGCCAGTTATGAGTTATTCTCTGATAAAAGTTTGGTCGAATTTGGCCTAGGTAGTTTATTTATTTCTCAATATTTGCTTACGAGTTTTTCTCTAAAACTTTTGCTTAACTGCACTAGCTTGATAGAAGTTTAGTTTTATTGCCTAGTTTTAAAGAAAGAAGTAAATTATTCATAATCCAGGAGTGATATTACTCCATCGTGTCGGTCATAAGCTTTTTTCTACTATCAATACACACATCAAAGTAACAGGCAGCCCTATAATATTAGGTCATTTGCAGAACTGGTTTCTTGTCCTGCGTAATGCGGTGGCTGCGATACAAACGTTAGTCATCGCTTGCGCCTGCGCCGGTATCAACGGATGATCTAATTTGATGCTCGTTTCATGCTTGCAAATCTATGATCACACTTGTATACCTATGTTTTAATTCTGTGATCAATTTACTCTTTTATAAGTGAGCACCGTTTTATGTTATACTTACACGGTCTAGAGTTGAGTTCATTGAGATGAAAACGTTTAGATTTGATTGATAGACTTAGGCTGAGTTGCACCAACTTACTTTGACCGTAACTTTAACAATAACCGTTGCTTTTTGTATAGGGTTTTTTTGACAGATTTTTGACGTTTGTCAAAGTTAAAGTAAGATGGTGCAACCCAGCCTTACTATTGTAGCGAATATTATGCATTTTTATTCAACCAGTAGAAGTACTCCGTCCGTATACTCACATTTTTCACTGACTTACCGTATCCTAGCACTGGATCCGTTTTATGAACCAAATCCCGGTTTGAGCTTTGCTTTGCCATGAATTTTGGTACTAGTTCCTATACATGTATATTTTTACCATAAAAAGTTTGATTTCGACTGTAGGTACAGTCAGCATCAAATAGTTTGTGACACCCAAAGTAGCCAAAAATTTCGCGACACGTCTTTGTTACAATTGTGTTGTCAACTTTTTGGCCACTTTGGCAACGACGAACTATTTGACGGTGACTGTACGAAGTTCTAGATATGTTACAGTACGGTTGCACGCCTCATCCCAACTGTGTCACGAGTTGACACCCGTCGCCCATTATTCTGTGGTCCACATCACGTAACGAAACCGTGAGCGGTGCTCATTGCTCCCGGAGATGAGCGTGAGTGTACAAACATACCTAGTACCTACCTACATTATTATTTGTAACTAAGGTAAGATTGGGTTCAAAGTTTCCCAAACCTATAACAAAAGTTACTGAAAATTTATTCGTAATTTGTGTCTAACATAGGTCTTGCCTTCTAGAACTGCTAATGAGTAGTAGCCATAAATATTATTAGGTATAGTACTTTCCTGTAATGTGATTTCATATACAGGGTGGAAACGATAAGTGATCTCACTCGATTATTTCTAAACTATTCAAGATATCCAAAAACTGGTTACTGATTCTGAAAGTGCTCTACGAGCTCTATCTAACGGTACCAATAATATTTATGTTACCAAATAAACTAGATTTATCCGAAAATTCAATGTTTCCGGCTTCCATACATTTAGTAGAATCACATAATATTAAAAACTATACAAGATATCCAAAAACTGGTTACCGATCCTGAAAGTGCTTCACAAGTTCTATCCAACGGTACCAATAATAGGTTACAAAATAAACCTGGTCTATCCTACAATTCAATGTTTCCAGCTTCCATACATTTAGTACTGCCACAGTCATGGCACTCATATTATATCTTGATAATATTATAACAAGATAAAGTCTAAAACCAATGTTTTCCATGAATAATTTTTAAATAAGAATGCAATTTGGAGTTCAATTTAAGTGTTTATTATTGAATAAAAAAAAATAACACTCCTAATATTGTGTGGCTGGCATACATTTAGTATGGAGCCTGAAAACATTGAATTTTCGGATAGATCCAGTTAATTCTGCAACCTATTTCTAAGAACCATTTGAAAGAGCTCGTGAAGCATTTTCAGGATCAATAACCAGTTTTTGGATAATAATATCTTGTATAAGTAGTTTAGAAATAATCGAGTGAGATCACTTATCGTTTCCACCCTGTATAGACATATACAGATCAAATGGAGTATTGTATGTCTGAAAGAGTCTTCACT